AGGGTTCTTCTTTACTTTACAGAAACATGCCATTAATTAACATTGATTAATTTTATTGTATTTATCGAACTCATTTTCAGCCGTTACGTGAGCTAACTGTTTACTGTTCCGAAGTAACTCTTGAGCAGTGAAATCTAGCTACCATTTTTCATTGCATAAATGCAACCTCGCCTCCGAACCGTGGCGATCGACAAAGTATCGCATAAACTGGAGCAACGCGGTTGAGCGCCTTCTCTCAGACTACACCATGGCAGTCATGCATCCGAAACTGACTGCGGATGTTGAGCCTTGTACAATCCTTGAGGATGAGGGACGAGAGGCCCAATCAAAATCTCATTCGCTCCCACGAATACAAATTACGAATGGCGTCCCACTTGAATATGGGAATTGGGGGGGGGAAGGATTTTGGCGACGCTTCCTTGTGTGGACACCTAAACCTTGCTGTATTCCATAGGCACCGAGTGTTTCAGATGAAAAGCACTTTACGACGAAACACGAAGTTACGACCTGTGTCTATCTTTGTCATCGAATCGAAGAATCCAGCCCATGGAACTTGCTCGATTCTAAGAAGAGCGGTACCGTTGAGAGGAAAGCCAATAGAAGTATCGACGGATGGATGATTGGAAGGAAGGACAGACGGATGGATGGAAGCATGCTGGCATGGCGTAGTCGATCGTCGGGCAAGAGGACAACGTTTAAATTTGGTGGACAAATTCAAACCTATGTATAAATTGTCATTTTAGGATAATGATAACCCGCGTGTGAAACAGAGTTCTTTTGATTAATTTCTTGAAAGGTATGGTCATTTCATTTTTTTCTATGCTGTGAATAGCATATCTTTTATCCACTGCATTTATTATTTTTTTTAATTTTCGTTTTGGTGAATAAACTACTTTATTATGGCGACAAGTTTTGTTTATATTTTGTTTTTACTTTGTGTCATCAACGGTAACCGCGAAACTAGATCTACATCAAGTTCAAATTTCGCAAATGATATCCATTCAGCAGATTGTTTCTAGGAGGAAGAAAAGGAAAGGAAAGTTTGAAACCGTTGGAAAGTTGGCCTTCTTTACTTTTTCATGATGGGACCGTTTTGATGCTCATCTTTTCTTGAAGTTAAAAATGGCACGTTGATATTCGTCTCCAGTCATCAGTCAAAAGTTGAAGGGCAGATCGACAGCAGCTAATGACAAGAGTAATAAGGCTCATTTATCGACCATTGAAGGGAGAAAGGGGAGTGGCCATACCGGACTCGAGAGAAGCCGGAACCTTTCAGTTCTGAATCCAACACTTTACCGACTGAATCACCCCGCTCTGAAGCAAAATGTGGCAAGCTCCATGCTCAACGGAATTCCGGTGAGAAAAAGATTGCCCTCCTCCAGAGTTTAACCTCCGGAGTTCGAAACCGATCTCTGAGGCATTGTGCCACCACACCCCGCGGCGTCTCTACGAGGTACCTAATGAGTCGGAGACAAATATACTACAATTTCTACTCCATTTTTATTAGCAGCTGACCGCTGGCCAAACGGACTTAGACTTACTTTTAGTGACAGTCGAATTAAGCCAGCTTTCACGCCCTGGGACCCCTGATATCTTCATGAAACTGACCTAATCGTGTCTTTGATGCCTATACGACCCTGTCTTCAGTATGCGTCACCGCTAGCATTCCTGTAAATCCCTCATCCGCAATACTGGCCCTTTTGGAGTACGGGTTTAAGCAAATCACGTGATCTACTCACTTGCTGAATGCATCACCAATACGAGGTAGTAATGCTGGACTGCCAAACGTCATTCTCTTGCATACAGGAATGAACACCTGAACACTGAGGCACTTTTAGCACTTAAACGAAAGAAATTCCACCGGGCGAACAGACCGGATATCGAAATGTTTCATCCAACGGCTAGGAAAGTGATTTATTGATAATGCCGTGCGAAATGAAGAGATACTCCATAGAAGACAAGGGGTATACCCTCTGAAATTCACTCTGCCAGCAAGAACCTGTTCATTTTATGATTCAGTGGCAATAATCACAGCATATAAGTACAGAGAACATGCATATTGCTGAAGTAGCGTTTACAGTATACTGCCAGTGTTGTAAAGCTGGTGGCCCCTTCACGAGTTAAAGCGAAAAGAAGTCAGCCTATACGAACTGCATCGACCTTTTGTGCAATGACAGTGTTAGCGTCGTCGCCTCCGCTTTGTTCAGAGGCAGTCGATTTGAAGGTGCCGAGGACGACGATGAGTGACACATGCCTCAGCGGCGACGCATCAACTTTCACACGCGTTTTTGCGCATGACCGAAAGCCTTGGGCGATGCGAACAAAAAATGACCGCCACCGTAAAGCGTTGGGCAGCGTCGACGTTCAGCAGCGTGCCTCCCTTCGACACATGCCTCGTTGTCGACCACCTGACCACCGCCGCCTAGGGTTGAATTTCACACCTCCGTCGGTAGTAACGGCTTGGATTTCGCACTAAGCCCTGTCTGTTCCACGAAACAGATGCGCCAACGCTCGATCGAATTGCGTGAAACCAGAAACGCTGGTTGGCAAGTAGCCGATGAGCCGCTGACTACTGGTCACTCGATGACCCCCACGGACACCTCCTGCTGTTGTTTTGTTTACGCTTTGCATCTACCGTAAGCAACCGGAAGTTGTCGTTGAATCTGAACACCGGTTTCGGAAATGATGTTTCAAGTTCTTCCATGGATCATGGTTATGCCGTGCCGTAGATACATATTGACGTGATGGAGGTGGAAGCGTTTCAACGACGTTGCTGACCATCCACCTGTTCTGCATAACTTAATGACTAAAAGGATTATTTACGAGCCAATAAAAGCGACCATAACTCATTTCGACTGGCGAACGCCCATTTCTATCAAAAGAGGAAAGCTATTGACGACAGGGGCAATTTTCAATTCGACCTGCTTGCTGCCACCGTTGCGAGCCGCGCCGTGGTCTACCCGATCTGGCCGGGTCCGGTCCGGTCCGGTCTGGTCCCTAGTCGGCCGACTCCGCGCGTAACACCTGTTGTCTGAGGCCGCCTCCGCCGCCCGTGTAGGCCAGGGAGTCCCCGTACGATGCCCGTGGCCTCGACATCGTCGACACGTGGCCATCGCCTACCGTCTGACCTTTGTCCGCCGATGGCTAATTGGGAACCGCGTCGGTCGGCACCTCAAACAATGGTGGACACGCTGACAAAAGAGAGGAATTGGACCATCGATCACGGACCGAGATTCACCATCTTATCGGCCGACGCATCGGGGCTGTCGCCGCTACACGACGATGCCAGACAGATGTGCAGCGGCCCGAAGTCGATGGCCGCCTCTGGCCAACGACCACAACACACATGACACGGCTTGAAGAGCGGTCAGGAAGTGAGCGTCATCTGATGACGTCACAACTCTTTGCCAAGAGCAGAAGAGGGTTCGGAGGAGGAGGAAGGGTAGGACAAAACTGACGAACTGCGATTGGCAACATTTTAGCTCGTCACACAGAACAGACGAGGACTGCTTTTCCCGGAAGCCTGCTATGACATTTGCAAAAAGAAAAAGCGGCAACACTGGAGGTTCAGGTTTTCGGAGCAGGTTATGCGTGCCACTCCTTTACCAAGACAAGCGATATGATCAGACTTGGTTGTTTCTTCGCCACTGTAACACATCTGCACAAGGGTCGTGAATCCGAAAGAATAAATATTTCATCCTCCAGCACAAATGGACTTAGGCTTGAGAACGGTTAAATATAGTAGGTACAGTTTACACCAATATCGTTTCAGGAAATGACTAATGCAAGTCATCATACCGAATACACGGCAAACTAGTAATGATCGTTGCTTCAAGAGACTTAAAAGGCTATTTAAGCGAGGTAACACCTCACGGTATTTTAGCACTTGCTAATGGTGGTTCGAGCAACACATGCTTGTGGCTCCAACAGTAACATTTCTCATACTGAAAGTATAAATACAGTCAAGGTTAAGCAGGAATGTCATCACAATGGTATGTAGTCAAAGGCAAATACGAATGCTTCTGTCTGAATTTCATATAGCTTCTCAAGGCACTGACAATGGATTATTTCCTTATTATGCAGCGCTTTGCACCGATTTTTATAGAAACCTCTTGTACAGGCACCAGGGGGAGGGGGTATAAGCATCTGGTGCCATTGTCTGTCAGAAATTAGCTGATGAGCTTGAATCATTGCTGGCACCAAGTTCATCTACGATGATGTAGATTGATTAAATTTGATGGCTTTTTGCCAAATCTTGGACTCTGAATACGCTTCAACAGCAGCATATTTGCGGTTCCTCAGGAACACGTCTGCTTAGTCGATAAAAGAGAAGGGTTCTTGCCCACTTCAGCGTTTCTCCCTATAGAACGATGGCGCTCGTATTTATGTTTCACATACCTCATTCGCCGTGCTTGATTATGGAGCTTTTTAGAGACACCGGCAGAGCAGTTAGCATTTCTTATTAAAAGCACATACACCTACTCTTCCGGTATTTATGCAAGCACAGAGATCCAGTGGTTATGTAAAAGCCGTGAGCTACTGCTAATTAAACATTGCAAGGTGAATCTGAATCACTGCAGACGTGTAGGTCTAAAATAATTCGAACTGCATTTCAGATGGTTCGTCCAGAAGATGTTTCAATCGTCAGGGAGCAAATCGGATATAATCTTTTTCGGCCCTCCTGTCTGCAGAACTGCTGCTTTAAAAACCATATCAAATGCTGTCATAAAATACCATAGCACAGCTGCATATTGTGGTGAACGAGTCTGTTTACATTTTACCTATATACAGTCTGCCTACATCTTTCGATGGATGCGATAGGTATTATAAGCACACTATATAAGTTACCGTTGATCAGACTGAAGTGATAATAGAAGAGTTGAATTCTTTCTGCCACGAGTTCACTACAGACCTTTTAACCTTAACCTTGAAAATTCAATGGATACATGCGATGGAAAATTAAGGTAAGGTTGAGGTGTAGATGGCTTACACTCATATTTATTAAAACCAAAAATTCAAAGCATATAAGAATCCACCACTCTCAGGAAAGATACATCATGTTTACCTGTTCATGCAAACTACCTAATACTGAAGACTCAATCTCTGGAGTTCTTATTATTTTCGGCAAGACGGATAATCCCTTTTATAGGGCGGGGG